AAAACAAAGTCATACATGTATAGCTCAAGATAACTCCTTAAAAGTTCCCTCTCTATTTCCCTCAAATAGTATAACATATTCAAATTAATACATGTCTAAATAAAATTCAATCAATCAATAAAATCATCAATAACATTTTACTTATACAAGTCCAAATCCTGTTTTTAAGCTTTACTAAATTTCAATTACCATATTCCAATTTAGCCTTAAATAAGCATATTATTTACACTTCAGGTATCTCTAATTTCCATTGTTTCATAAGATAATAATTATAATATCTAAAATAAGCATATTATTCCAACAGTTAGATTCTTACATTTGCCAAATATATTCTCATTCTTATTCTCATAACTCCTGATTTACTAATACCATGCCTTCCCTTGTCACAATCCGTTTCCTTGTTCTCATTCCATTAAAAGATGATTATCATACCTAAAATAAATATTATTCCAAAAATACATTCTTACTCTATTTCACATATAAATTCTGTTTCTTATCTTAGTAGCTCTTCATTTAAAACCTTTTTCGTATTACAATTCCAAACTATAATCTGACCAATCATTTTCATCTCAGTTATAGGTCTAAGTCTTAAACATTAAATTAGTCCATGTCCCTAAAAAGCCTTTTTAACCCATTAAGTACAATTTTAAATCATTTTTTAATCTTACTCTAGCCTTCTTTTTGTGCCAAGCAGGTTTCTATAACCGAGCCTCTATATCAACAAATAGGTCTCCCTTCATTCCTCGAGATACCATTTGAATCAAGAGAGAGCATCCCATTATCAATTTTAAAGAGCTGGCTCATTTGTAATTATTCCATTGTTGCCCTAAAAATTCAAATCTTGATGTTTGGTTAAGTTGAGTAGCACAATCGGTTGTATCCAATGTTGTAATTGGAAGTTGGTTATCAAAGTTGTCACAGATCTCAATAAATCGTATTTGAAGATCAATTCCTGTTGTTTTTGAAATTGCATATGGTTTAATTAAAGTCACTCTTTGATCATCAAAAATCTCAGTGGCTTGTATATAGAATTGTGTAAAGTCCTCATTGGTGTTGGTTGTTCCTCTTCTGTTGTTTTTTGGCCTGTAGAATAATCAATTGGAGTCTGGAAATCAGTTTGCAGTTTTGGAGCAACATCTTTGGCTTCCATTCTGGAATTCATTTGCTCAGTAACTTCAAAATTTTTTTCCAGTATGAGTTTATAATCAAGATGTAGATAAGATTCCTCCATCTCATTGAGTTGAACATAATGTTGCATAGAGGCCTCTTGAATGTTGATCTGTTCCTCCTCTACTATTCCTTGGCCTGTAGCTTGATCAGTTAAGGTTTGAGCTTTAATTTGTAATTCTGAAATAACCTCTTTCATTCTGGAGTCCATTTGCTCAGTGGCTTCAAGATTTTTTTCCAGTATGAGCTTATAGTTAAGTTGTGGGTAGGGTTCCTCCATTTCAGTGGTGATTAAAAGTAGTCCTTTAATCTTTTAGTGGAGGCTATATTTAATAACAGTCAACCAATATCCACAATTTCTAAGAGTTAGTTAGTTTCACCATCCATCTGTTTCAGCTTCTTTATCTTTTCCCTTTTATGATAATTTGAAGGTCAAAGCCAATTTCAAAATCAAAGCAGGAAAAAAAAGCAATTGCAGTGTCAAACTTCACCACAAGATGTCCCCAGTAGACTATAGAATCTTTTTCCAGACGCCAATAAAGTCCCCCCCCCAGTTAAATGGATAAAAGAAACAATATTCTCCAAGTAAATAGAATAATAAAATTCTATAATAGTGTTTTTTTCAGGACCCAAGAGTATCCAAAAATAGAAATAGTCATTAAAGTTAAAATTAATTATTCTTTCCTTTGTTCCAAAGCTTGTCTTCCCAAGTGAGCGAACACTGCTCTATCAAAGCAGGGAAATAATTCCAAGGGGGCTTTTCACAGGAGTAAATAGGGTAAAGAAAGAGAGGGAAAGGTCTCACCTGGATCTTCCATGGTGGTTCTTTACGCTTAGATGTTCTTGTGACTTTCGGCTGGTGAGGCTAAGTGCTCGACCATGTTAATGGCCAATCTTTTCTCCGTCGGCCTAAGGAGCTGCCTCAGACCGCGGAAGGAACTGCTGCCCTTCCACAGTCAGACGAGAATCCTCCTCAACGGTGGTCGCCCCTCCAGGGCGACCTTCGATCCTATTCAGGGTCTACCGGCGAAGGAAAACCGGCCGGCGAAGAGTCAACTCTCTATACACGACCGCCAGCGCCGCGATCCGGAACCAGAAGTCTAGAAACCAAATCTTGAGGTTATTAGCACATGTATCATTGAAAGCAAGTTTCCTGTTTTAGGTAGAGACATAATCAGTTAATCATCAAAAGCTGGGGAAAGGCTCCACTTGCCACTGTTATTATCTGGATGTCCAGTAACCCAGACCATGAACAAAGAACAGCTAAGTGCATGTATGTGGAGGTACATATACACAGAGTAATCAAATTTATATACTGATAAGTATGTGTGGGTGTGATTGGCAGGCATATTGAAGTATGCTACAATTTAACGACCATTTTTCCCCTTTTTTGTCATTAAAAATGTTTTACTTTGTTATATTTAGGAATGGAAGCCAATACAAGGAGAACGATTTGAGTTCTTCAGAGACCATCTTATTATGAAAGATATAAAAAAAGATGATGGGGGAAAATATGTATGCAAAGGAACCTATACTTTTAGGGGAAATAAATACAATTTTTCAAATAGTATTTTGGTGACATTTTTAGGTAAGTATTTGTGTTATTGTAATTTCCTCCTATATTATCTGGGCAACTAATGTTTTCCACTCTTTTTTTCTGTCTGCTTACTTATATTTATTTTACCATATTTCAAAAGAGATTTAATGCCGTTTTCAAAATGATCATGTTATATCTTCATCTATCTAGCAGTTGGGACACATGTTGTGCCATTGTTATTATACACATAATCTCAAACAACATTTAATATTCCAAATGTCCTTTTGATCGGTGTTAGTGTATATAATGAATCAATTGCAGGGGAGAATTCAAAATTAAATATGGTTTACAACTGATTAATCCTTTTTTTATTCCAACTTAAAGTATTAGAAGTTCAATTGCCGTGCCAGCATTCTTTAAATAAATAAAACTAGTTGTTTCTTTTTATAATCTTTGAGATAATAATGTATTTAGATAAATCAAGCTGTATTATAAGTGTTACCTTCTGTTGCTCTGGTTGATGGTTGGGACTTACAACAATTAGACATCCTGGATTATTGTTTGTAAAATTTGGTTTTAATTTTTGTATGCCACCCAAAATCATTGTTTTGAGATGGGTGACCATGTAATTATATCTATATATCTATACACGCACACACAGAGGTTTTTTTTTTTAATAATTTTTTTTATTAATTTTTCAATTAAAACAACAAATACAAATGATGCATGTATATACGCCAACAAACAATAAAGATACTCAAAACATTTTCGGATACACTCGGCAGTCCCCGCCTTGCCTCCACCCTCATCCACTTTACCTCTCCTTCCTCCCCCTAAACCTACAACCTCTCCTCCTTTTCTTACCACCTCTCTACATCCCCTTCGCCTTCTTAACCACCTCATCGAGTGCAACTTGGGGTACCAGCCGAGTATATCNTCTATAGGTTTCTATGTTTCCGAAAAGCTCTTTTTACAGAGATAAAGAATTATGCAAATCAGAGGGCAGTCATATTTTGCGCCCAAAATTAAAAAGCGAAACGCGGTTCACTTGCTCGGAAACAAGCATGCGGACTGTTGTTTCAAAGTATTACCTGTCCTCTTGCATTTCCATATGGAAATTTTATTTCGAGTTATCATAGCATTTCCGGGGGGGGGGAGGGAAAGACTACGGGGTTTCACCATAAATAGCCACGATTTTTTTAAACCTATTTAGTGGCTTCCTTTCTTCTCAGGTTAGTAGATTTTAATATTATACATCAGTTTATCGTTATCTATCAAACGACAGCATAATAAATCACAGTATTTAGAAAATAGCTTTCATAATAGGCTACAATCCTATTGTGCTGTATCTATATAAATCCCATTGACTATAGAGTTACTTTTGAAACATAGATTTTCTTATACAGTAATGGGATTGCCTATTTTTCCAAAATAATTGCATAATTAGATATATTGGTATATTTTAAAATTCATAGGTTTTTATTTAAATGGACTTCATGTTAATCTTTGTTTTTAACTGATGTCTGAACACGGACATAATATTCCAGTTTTCTAGACAATTTGTACAAATTGTAGAAATGTGTCTAGTTCATTTTAGGAGTATTGTACATTTTACCAGTAGTAGTGTATATTTTAGGAATACAGGAGATTTGGCATTGTCTATAAACCCTCTGTGACTAATAACTTTCAGCAAGTAGACAATATTTTAGTTTTAAATGAAACTAGACACTAATAACGCTAGTTTGTTATATTACCTAAACATAAAATAAGATAACAAATAATATATTATACATTCAAAACAGCAACATTTTAGTTAATTAACAGAGAGAGTAAATGTTTTGAATTGACTTACTTTTGAGCAGCTAGTAAAGATATGGGAGTTGGGTAGCTAGTATATTTAAATAAATAATAATAAGCTGTAACTGTCTTTAATCATCAGGCAAATTATAACAGCTGAATTAAGACTCCATGTACTTTCGTAAGATACAATTTTGTATCTTTTTTGTTTATCTTTTTAATTTCTTTTTGTTTATTTTTTTAAATCTTGAATAAATTCAATAAAAGGAAAAAAATACTAAAAGAAAACATTTAAGTTCCCTGACAAAGTAAATTATCCAGAGATGTTTTATTTAATCCTGTTACTGGCATTTTTGGGGGATGTGAGTATGTGTGGGAAAACTGGAGGGAAAAATGAAGAAACAGCAAGGTTTCTTGTAAATGATAAGAATTGAAAAGAGAAACGTATCAGCTATGGCTTGAATGTATTGAGTCTTTTGCTTCTTTCCTTTTTGTGCAGTAAAACATGAAACCTGCTTTAGCTGATTACTGTATTCTAGTCCTCTCATTTATCTGTGTATTCAAATCAGGTGAGTTTCTTGTAAACAGCTTTTTCAAATACTCAGTGAGAGAGAATGTTCAGTCAGAAAAAAGGAAGGATTTTATTTATGATAATTATCCTGGTTTTAGATGTAAGCTTTTACTTTTCTTTTAAAATTGATTTGAATTACAAACTCTGGTACAGTTGTATAAAATAAGTGTAAAATGAGCTATGTGAGCAGGGGTTTATTAAAGAGTTTATCTCAGTGTTTCTCAAACATGACAATTTATAATACAGGGACTTTAACTCCTAAAATCCCCCAGCCAGTGTGGTAGTTGAATTCCACACATTTTAAAATTGCCAAATTTGAGAAACACAGGTCTAGCTAATAGAATCAATTTCAAACTGCATTTCTGATATGCTATTTCATGAAGAGAAAGGTAACTTTAGATTTGTCTTTAGATCCTTATTGTAGTTAGCTTTGCAAGGCTGACTTGATCTATTCTTTTTGCACAGTTCTAATTTATATCATGGGTCACAAAGTAGTCATAATAGTGAAATAAATCTTTCTATGCAGAGGTTTTTTCTAAACAGTGGATTTAGTGTACATATAGTTTGAAACCCAATGATTGCCCCCTCTCCATGTAGAGAAATGTGTTGTCCAGGAAGATATTGGAAAGCAGAAGGTGTTTGAAGAAAACAATCCTTTTAGGCTTGATTGCCCATTGGACAGAATTCCAAACTCTACCCTGAACTGGTACATGAATGGAAATGATACACCTTTAAGTACACAGCCTCTTTCAAGAGTATTCCAAGAGAAAACCAGCCTCTGGTTTATCCCTGCCATAGCTCAAGATTCAGGATTGTATCAATGTATTATAAGGTAAGGAATTGCATTTACTGGTTCTGGGAGTGGAG